TTCGCGATGGCCAAAATTTTAGATTTTGTTATGTATAACCATGATTTTTAGCCATTTTTAATTGTTTCAACTTATTAGCAGAATTTATATTTTCATGAGATATAACCCACGATTTTTGTCCATTTTCGTTCATTTCAACCCAAATGAAGAAACTTTTTTAAGTCTGAAATTCACGATTTCAAGAGCTATAACACATGATTTTTGATCATTTTCAGACATTCCAATCCATTGGCAAATAATTTTGCGCATGCTAAAATTCACAATTCATGAGCTATAATCCATAATTTTATCATTTTTAGGTGGTGTGACATGTAATTTCATGAAGTCTAAAATTCACAATTTAATAATCCATGATTTTTTGCCATTTTAAGTCATTTTGACCCATTAACAAATAATTTTGCAGACGCCAAAATTCACAATTTCTTGAGTTATAAGCCATGATTTTTTTACTATTCTTAGTGGTTTCAACCCATGGTAAAATAATTTCACGGTAGCAAAATTTTACAATTTCATGAGCGACCCACGATTTTTGGCTATTTTTAATCATTTGGACCACTTGGATAAATAATTTCATAGTGACCAAATTTCTAAATTTTGTGAGCTATATCCCACGTTTGTTGCCGTTTTTAGTCATTTCCACTTAAGTAGCAAATAATTTATAGTAGTCTAAATTTCATGCCTCGAGAGCCCCGCATGGGCAAACCTTCCTATGCGTTGGCCTGGGAAACCAGTTCATTGGAAGCTTTGGCTTAGTCCCCATGTACGCGTGAACTATGAATTCGCAAGATGGTCCACGGGAAGAAGGGCTGCTATACTTATAATGTGACGTCGACTCCATACAATTGTTGGCCATTTTTAGTCATTTCAACCAATAGGATAAATAATTTTTTCATGATCTACATAACTAATGATTGATGTCCATTTTATCTATTTCAACCTAAAAGCAATTAAGTACATATAGCAAAACTCGTGATTTCATGGGCAATAACCGCAATTGTTGTCCATTATCGTCCATTATGACCTAATGGCAATAAATGTCTATTTCAAAATTCTTGATTTTTACGGGCTATAAACTATAATTTTTTATTGTTTTATTTGTTTTTACCTTGATGGGAATTCGGTAAGGGGACATCAAAACATAGGATTTGATTGGCTAAAACCAACATTTTTTATTTATTTTTGTCCATTTTGACTCAATAGCAATGAATTACGCAAAGTTTAAAATTCTTGATTATCATAGGCACGTAGTTCAAAATTTATAAGTTGCATTGGTCATAACCCACAATTTTTTATTTTTGTAGTTGTCAATTCAATTCAATTAAGTACACCTACCTCGAAGTTCTCAATTTGCAAGATCTACTATCTTAGATTTTTGTCTATTTCAATCGAAAGGCCTACGTACGCGTAGTTCAAAATTCAAGATTTTATAGGATATAACTAATGAATTTTGTCTACCATTAACATTGTTTGGTTTGACCTAATAGCAAAAAAAAAAACGTGTATTTCATAATTCTCGATTTTCATTAGCACCCACGATTTTTATCGTTTTTGCCTGTTTCCACTTAATGGAAATTGAGTGTGTAAATCATAATTTGCAATTTGATGGCCTATATCCCACAATTTTACAATTTTAACCTAATAGCAATCACGTCCATGCAATGTAAAATATCTTATTTTCATGTGTTTTTATTTTCATTTCATTTGTTTCCACACAATGGCACAAAGTTCAAACCCCGCGACTTTCCTAGGTTATAGCCCTCGATTTTTTTTATTTATTGTCTGCTTCCACCCAATGGCAATTAAGTACGCTTACTTTAAAATTTATGATATTCATGTTCTATAACCCACCATTTTGGTCTATTTTTGTCTTTCATTTTTGTCTATTTCAACACAAAGGCAATTAAACATGAAGAGTTCAAAATTTTGTTATTTCTTAGGCTATAACAAGTGATTTATGTCCGTTATTATCGTTTCAACCCATTGGAGATGAAGGATGCGTATTTCAAAATTCTCAATTTTCATGGGCTATAATGTGCTATTTTTATTACTTTTACCCGTTACGAGCCAACGAGAATTAAGTATGCGTACATAAAAAATTACATTTTTGTTGGCATATAAACCACAATTTTTATTAAATTTTGTCCAATTCTAACAAGTGGCGATTAAGCACGCATAGTTCACAATTCCCTATTTTCATGGGCTATAACCAGCGATTTTTTATCTTTCTGTTCATTGTGCCTCAATCAGAATTAAGTATGCATAATAAAAAGTGCCCCAATCAGAATTAAGTATGCATAATAAAAAATCTACGACCTTATGGGCTATAACCTACAATATGTATCCATCTCTGTGTCAGCAACAACTAAGCACACTTATTTCAAAATTCCCAATTTTCGTTGGCTAATAGCCCACAATTTTTATTTATTTTTATTAGTTCCAACTCGACAACACGTCCTTCAAAATTTTCAAGTTGCATGGGTCATAACCCCATGATTATTGTTAATTTTTGTGCGTTCCAACCCAAAAATAATTAAATGCATTTACTACAAAATTTGTGATTTCATAGGCTATATAACCCACAATATTTATTCATATTTGTCCAACCCAATAGTAATTAAGTGTATTTACTTCAAAATTCACGATTTTCATGATCTATATAACTCAATATTCATGCCCATTTTTGTCTATTTCAACCAAAATGCACTCAAATACATGTACAAAATTTCTGATTTCATAGGCTATAACCCATGATTTTTTTTTCACTTTCATTTGCTTTCAACTCAATTGCAGGTAGTTCAAAATTTGCGATTTTCACAAGCTTAATTTTTTTTCACTTTTATCTATTTCAACCCAATGGCAATTAAATATATTCTTGCGTCAAAAATCACGATTTTCATATGCTGACTAACACCCATAACTTCTATCTATTTTTGCATATGTTAACCCCAAGGCAATCAAGATTCATGCCCATTTTTGTCTTTTCAACCAAAAGGCACTCAATACACATACAAAATTTTTGATTTCATAGGCTATAACTCGCAATTTTTTTATTTTCATTTGCTTTGACTCAATTGCATGTAGTTCAAAATTTACGATTTTCACGAGCTTTAAAATTTTCCATTTTCATCTATTTCGACCCAATGGCAATAAAATATATGCTTGCGTCAAAAATCGCGATTTTCATGTGCTGACTAAAACCCGTAACATCTATCCATTTTTGCCTATGTCAACCCTAAGGCAATTAGGTACACATTGCAAAATTTATGATTTTATAGGTTATAACTCACAATTTTTGTCAATCATTGTCCATTAAAACCCAATATCGATAAAAAAGTGTATTTCAGAATTTTTGATTTTCATGGGATATAACCCACAATTTCTTATCATTGCCTATTTTGACCCAATGGGAATTTAATATGTATACATCAAAACTTGAGATTATATGGGCTATAACCAACAATTGTTATCAGTTTTTTTCCATTTTGACCCATTAATAATTAAGTGTGCGTAGTTCAAAATTCCAGATTTGCATGAGCTATTATCCAAGATTTTTGTTCATTCTCGTCTATTTCGACTAAATGACATATAATTCAAAATATGAGTTTCATGTCATAATTCACGATTTTTTTATGTGTCAAATCAATGACAACTAAGTAAATGTACCTTAAAATTCGTGAATTTCATTAGCTATAATTGAATAGTTTTGCGTATTTCAATCCAAAGGCAATTATGTACACGTAGTTTAAAATCACAATTCTACAGGCCAAAACCCACAATTTTTATTTGTTATTCTTTAGTCTGACCCAATAACAAAAAAGTATGCATGTTTCATAATTCTCAACTTTCATGGTCTACATAACCAATGATTTCAGATCATTTTTTGTATGTTTCCATCTAATGAGAATTAAGTATGCGTACATCTTAATTTGCAATTTTATGGCCTATATTCCACAATTTTATCCAATTTAGTCTATTTTAACCTCATGGCAATTAAGTCTGTGTAATTCAAAATTTATGATTTTCATGTTACAGTTAACGATTTTTTTTCATTTTCATTGGCTTTGACTTAATGGCACGAAGTTCAAAATTTGTAATTTCATGGGTTATAACCCACGATATTTGTTCATTTTAGCTGGTTTCCACCCCATGGCAATTAAGTACATTTACTTCAAAATTTGGGCTTTCATGTGATATAACCCACGAATTTTTGTCTATTTCAACGTGAAGGCAACTAGGCACATGTATTCAAATGTTGCAATCTCATGGGCACCAACCTTTTTTGTTTGTTCTTATCAATTTTGACCCAATGGTGATATAATATGCATAGCTCAAAATTATCAATTCTCACAGGTTATAACCCATAACTTTTTATCGCTTTTATCGGTTTTGCCCCGATAAAAGTTTAGTATGCTTCCATTAAAATTTATAATTTTATGGGCTATAGCCCACAACATTTATCCATTTTTATCCGTTTTCAATCAGAATTAAGTTGCACGGTTCAAAATTCTTGATATTTATGAGTTATTATCTTTGATTTTTTTATTCTTTTTTCCTTTTTGACCAATGGGAATTAAATATGCATAATCAAACTTTGTGATCTTATGGGTTGTACACACAATATTTTCCGTTTTTGTTCATTTCAAGCCATTGCCTATTAAGTAAGCGTAGTTCAAAATTTTTGATTTTCATAAGATAGAACCCATGTTTTTTTTTTTTTTGTTATCCATGAGGGTCAGGGTCAGTACTAGTGGCACCCAGACCTGACATAGTAGAAGTAATAGCATAGTCTGTTGGCTTTCATAATAAAGAATAAAAAGGAAAATGATGATCCAGGCATTGGTTTCTATAAAATAAAAGTTAAATATATAACAGTTTTTTGTTTAGCTATTATAGTCGTACAAGCTCATGATACAAGACAGATGGACACAGACATGCATGCACATACAGAGACACACATGCACCATGTATCCTTCATAGAAATTCATTCTATAAATGCATACCTCAGTATTAACTCCAGCACAAGCTAAGCATTCTGCTAAGCCCTCAAGAATACGGTTAATTCCTTCCCGTAATGTTGGTGTAGCTATTAGGCAATCTGCTGTTTTTGCATGGTCAGTTTCATCACAAAACACTGATAACACCTTTGGGCCTACAATTCCAAAATAAAGGTCTCAAATGCCAATTGCTAAGCAAATACATGATGTTAAAGAAGACTGTACTTAATTAGATGTACCGTAACAGTTACGTGCAATTGTGCACCTTGTAGAAAACGAACAATTGTCTTCTTAACTTCTTGAGCCGTCATCAAAGCATTGATTTTGTCTTCAAGCTTTTGCATTTTCCCGTCATCATCTCTTTCTGAATAATGTCGAGCGGAGATACTTGGGCCACCCCCAGTATTACTAAACGGTGCAATTGAACCACCTCCAATGTTGTTATTGGAAGGATCTGTTGAACTACCCCCAATATTATTGTCATTGGAAGGTGTATCAGCCATAATGACTTCATCCACTTCTGGATCACTGTCATGATCCAGGCATTGGTTTCTATAAAATAAAAGTTAAATATATAACAGTTTTTTGTTTAGCTATTATAGTCGTACAAGCTCATGATACAAGACAGATGGACACAGACATGCATGCACATACAGAGACACATGAACCATGTATCCTTCATAGAAATTCATTCTATAAATGCATACCTCAGTATTAACTCCAGCACAAGCTAAGCATTCTGCTAAGCCCTCAAGAATACGGTTAATTCCTTCCCGTAATGTTGGTGTAGCTATTAGGCAATCTGCTGTTTTTGCATGGTCAGTTTCATCACAAAACACTGATAACACCTTTGGGCCTACAATTCCAAAATAAAGGTCTCAAATGCCAATTGCTAAGCAAATACATGATGTTAAAGAAGACTGTACTTAATTAGATGTACCGTAACAGTTACGTGCAATTGTGCACCTTGTAGAAAACGAACAATTGTCATATATAGGCAAAGAAATTGCACAAAACAGAACATAAACAAATTTCGCCTTATAATTGAAAATATAAGGTGAAAAAGCTTATTACTAAGTAAATCAACTATCAGTGACTATAGCGTATGTTCCCTATGTATTCCCAAATATTACATTGGAGCAACCAAGTTATCTATTCCTGTATTATCTTGAATCGGAATATATAGGAAAAAGATCCGAAAATCAACTATCGGTGACCGCATGACATCTGCCTGTATTATTTATTCCTGTATTATCGTGAATCACAATATGTAGGAAAAAGATAATTACTAACTAAATCAACCATCAGTGGCTGTATGACTCCTATGTATTCCCAAGTATTAGGTTGTCGCAACCAAGTTATCTATTCCTGTATTATATTGAATCAAAATATATGCACCAACAGCTTTTAAGCAGAAAAATATATATATGCATTACATAAATAAAACAAACTCCCTCTCAATCTAAGAATGTAACCATTCACTAGAAGGGAAATGGCTAATCTATGGAAGCAGAGTCCCAGCTTGTTCTCATTTAAACCGAGTTAGCAATTCTCTCATTTGTTGAATAGCTAACTTCATCTCTGTCTTCACTTCAGCTCTAATTTCTTCGCGTTGCTTCGCCAGAGCTTCTTGAAGTATTTGAGTGAACTGATCAGAGGTGATCGTGAGTACTTCTCTGGTTTGTCCTATGCTTGACATTGTATCATCAGAAGCAATGGCTGAACAAGTGTCCGATAATTCATCCTCTGATGATATCCCTTCATGCATTCTTTTGATAGCTCCTAGCCGGAGTCGAGACTTCCGTCGGGCAATTTTTGAATTGACTTTTCCTCCCGAGGAAAAATCGGGTCTTGATTCACTCGAGTGCCATTTAGACTTTCTCTTGTCAGCCACGTTGATGGTGACTTCAGGGAATTCATCATCTTGGGCAGCTGATTTTCTTTTGCGGAAATGTCTCAGCTTAGGCTTCGATAATACAGAGACTTTTCGTGGGATGATTTCTCGTTTGAAACAGTCACATTCTGATAATGCTGTTTTGACGAGTCGTGCACAGGAACAACGAGAGTTTATCTCTCGAATAACTCTCTTTCGAAAATTATTCACAACCCCAACTTGATAATACGATTCATCGGTATGATTGCCAAAAAATCGTATCGTCTGTTGGTATGATCTCCCAGGTATGACGATATCATTTGGTGAATGCGTCTTCTTCTGGGAGTATAAAACCTTGTTGGCATTCTCAGGACAATTTATTTTTGTCTTTGAGCGATCCAAGGTTATGTTGGGAGTAGTACGTCTAAAACCACCCATTTGCGGATATGGGGTCTTAACGGGCTCCGAATGCTGATTTTGCATAAGTCCAGACTTCAGAATCCAAACTTGGCGGAGTTTTGGTGATTCTTTGGTCACCGCTTCCTTTCTCCTTTCTCGTCTTTGTTGTAAGAGAGCACGGGCATGAACAGCGTTTGCACGACGTTTTTGTATACGTTTATGGAAGCAGAGTCCCAGCTTGTTCTCATTTAAACCGTCAATGTTGAGCGAAACTCTACCGAACCATGATAAAGAAGGGGAGAGTAAAAGTGCAGAAAATAATTTATTAGGCTATAAGGAATATCATGGATAATGGCACAACAAGCAAAGATGAAAACTTACAGTTAAGTAAAAGAAACAGAAGACGCACGGCTTGCTTTCTCACGCACAAGCCAATTTCCTTCTGCAATAACTTCGGCAAAGCCTCCAACAGTTGCACGAGTCCAAACCTACGTAATTGTTAATGTACAAACTAATCAGGCTTCTTTTTAGTAGGAAGGCTGCGTCTATGCAATGAAATAGAAAGCAACTTACCTCTCTCTCTCTGAGGGGTTACTTGCCATCAACGTTAGATTCATTACAGATAATGCTTCAACCTGGATATACTCCTCCCTCTTGCTAAGAGCAATTTGCTGCATCTTCTCAAAAATAAGAATCAACATTTCAAAAGATATATCCATGCTGGCCCTGGAATTTCTATCTTCATTCTCCAAATATGAAAACTTCATATTTGAGGTTTCACTTTTATCTTGATTATGCAAACCAATAATTCTACGCTCTGGGCTCTGAGATTGGTCCACCAGAACATTGTTCCTGAGCAGAGTACACTGAAAAAAATCATATTTAAGCTCATGAGAATATGAAGGTTTACAGGACATGGCAGAAAAATCTACAAACATAAGGAAAACTCAAAATCCTAATAAGACTGTCAAAATAGTTGAAGGATAAATATGTAGGATAGTCAAATACAAAGTAACTTGCATGTATCATGGCAAACCATTCACTTCAATATATGGTCCATTGATCTGCTCAGGACAAATTGAAATGATGTGGTTGAGTTGTAGAGGTAATAACATATTGGATACACCCAAATATAAGGAACATTATAAAAAAGTTAAAGATCAAAAGTATGCCTTAAAGTAGGTGCAAGGTCAGTTTCTATCAATTTCCAAGAAATGAAGGCTATTTAGAGGTTTGATTATGATGTAAGCAAGGTTGTGGAAAGCGGAAAGCGAAGTGTTGACGCACCGCTAAGGCTATTTAGGGCTTTAGCAGCAAAAAAACACAAAGTGGAAAAGTGGTCCGTTTTAAATATAAATATTCAAAAAATAAGAAAACTAAAAGAAAATTCTACAAATGCATATTTTTCTGCAAATGCATATTTGATGATTTATATAGACTCTAAGCATGAAATAGAGTGTAACAATCACACACAGAGTACTGTAGAGAATAAGGCAGAGGTTAAAGAAGGTGGCGGTGCTCCGAAGAAAGGAGGTGGAGATGGAGGTGGAGTCGGGGGAGACAGAGGAGCTTCATGAGGAATAGCGAGAAGGACCGAAAAGCTTAGACAAAGAAGAAAGAGGAAGTGGTGCTTTGACGACAAGGGTGATGAGAGGCGGTGGAGCTTCGACGACGGGAGGCGGTGGAGCTTCGACGACGAGAGGCAGTGCAGCTTCAACAACGAGAGGCAGTGGTGGAGCTCCAACAAAGATTGTCAATGAGAGGTGGTGGCGGCGATTTTTGGTTAGGTTTTTTTGGGGTGCAAAGCGGACAGTGTGAGGGGATCCGAAAAAGAAATGGGTTTTTAAGAATCAAGTCGGGTTCGGGTTGGAAACTTATTTAATTAAGAATTTGGATTGGGTTTGGGTCGGAGAGGCAGTGCAGCTTCAACAACGAGAGGCAGTGGTGGAGCTCCAACAAAGATTGTCAATGAGAGGTGGTGGCGGCGATTTTTGGTTAGGTTTTTTTGGGGTGCAAAGCGGACAGTGTGAGGGGATCCGAAAAAGAAATGGGTTTTTAAGAATCAAGTCGGGTTCGGGTTGGAAACTTATTTAATTAAGAATTTGGATTGGGTTTGGGTCGGGTACAACCTGATAATTTGTATTTTAAAGCAATGTATAGCGTTGTAGCGCTTTTATGCGTCATTGGCTGCTATTTCGAGTTGATAGCATCAATCCCGCTAAAAACCACGGCTTTCGACCATAGCAGTACATGCATGGGCAACTACTATTGTTACAACTGCTACTGCGCTACTTAGGGATGTCCAAACTGGCCCGACTGGAATTTTTGGGTCTGGGCCAGGCAAAATGCCCAGCCTGAACCGGGAGGGCCCGGGCCGGGCCGGATTTTTGCTTATTTTTTTAAAAAACTTGTTTTTTTCAAAAAAATTTTAAAAATTAGATTTTTTTTTTTTTTGCCAAAAAATGCAATTTCAGAAATAATTAAAATATGTAAAATTTTGTCAAAAAATAACTTGAGAGAGAGAGAATCATATAATATATCGTGTGTGTGTGGTGTGTGTGTGTGGTGTTGTGTGTGTGTGTGTGTTATATGTATATCATATAATATTCTATATAATATATATAATATATATACTATATATATATATATAATATATATATATATAATATATATTGGGTGTGGTACTTATATAGGTCTTCACTTATAAGGTATATACAAGTGTACTAATTTATAATAATGTATATATATAGTTATACACATACTTATATATAATTATGTACTGATATAAAATATACGTATATAACTATAACTCTATGATATACACATATAAGTAATTACTTATAACTACATTATATGTACATATATACTTGTTGTATCTATCCCATGGTAAGAGTATAAGTATATAATGTTATATACTTACAAGTGTATATATAATATATATATATATATATATATATATATATATATATATATATATATATATATATATATATATATATATGCTTCATACTTAAGTATATACAACTATTATACACTTAGGAGGTACGGCTATTTTCCTTAAAAAAAACTATATACACTTAGAGATATATATAGGTATCATTAATCCAGATAATAATATGATTATATATAAAAATATATAAATTTCATAGCCGGGCCGGGTCGTGCTTCACCAACACAACCCTGACTCGGACCTGGAGCCCGGTAGGCCCAGGTTTTCCTAGCTTTCCCGGGTCCGAGCCGGACACCAAGCCGGGTCCGGGCCAAAAGCCCATTTGGACAGCCCTAGCACTACTATTTGCCGTTACTTACAACACTGGGTGTAAGTTTACACACGAGTCAAAAGATTCATATTATATTATAACATAGACACACTATGAGATACCGTTAATTGAAAATATATAGCAGATTCCCAACATGCAGTCAAGGAGCAGGTGAGTGAGGAGGGAGTGGGAGAAAACTATATTTAAAGTGCTTCATGAGTCCACGAAAACAAAATCTTATTGTTAAGTTTTACACCACACGTATGTGAATCACATGATTTCTAACTGTCGGCAAAACCTAGCTAGGAGCTTGTTAGTTCATTCCAACTTGCTGGTCCAAATATACTGATTGCATGAACACGGGTATGCCTTCATACTAGCGTCCAAACTAAATAGGTCCAAGCAGACCAAACCAATATCTTCAATATTTGATGCAAAGATTTAAGATGCAATAGAACAACAAAGTTTGTTTGAAATTGTTAATGGGCCAGCTACATGAATTATATTCTTCCATTTAGTTCTATTAAATATTAAAGATGTGATATATAGAGAATAACTTGGTAACACAATAAACAATTTTTTTCAAACTACCAGCTAAGAGATTAAGTTGCAAAACACTACCTTCTATTCAATCTAGTACTATAACTCAAGTGCTGCAAGAGGGCATGCAATACACGCAATGCTTTATGGGCGACAATGACCTGAAACGGAGATAAGAAATGAATTAGAATTAGGAAGCACAAAACAGTACCTCATATATGAAGCTAAGGAGCAGTGTAGAACAATTCTTTTAAAATGGAGATCATAAATATCATATTTGTAGCTAACTAAGACAACCCCATGGTAGATACTTTGAGCGTTTAACGAGACATTGTGACTAACCAATAAATACAGGTATTTTGCTCATGACGTTCCAAGAGAAAAAATTGAAGGATGAAAACCAGAATAACCCACCTTAAGAAAAAAAAATTAATATCTAAGAAAGTAATCTGTGTGTATAGTCTGCGATTATTTTCCTCTTTTCTTTTCTTAGTTAATAACACTTCAACATAAGAAGTTGCACAAGTTACCAATCATTGAGTTGATCTTGAACAGTAATACTAGCGAAGTCCAACACTAGACTAAGTTACATCACATCACCTTGTGCAGAAAACTAGCATTATCCTGATACGAGCAAGTTGTAGGATTACCACCTCTACACCCAACAGGCCTAAACTAAAGCCAAGAAAAAAACAATTATGTGATAATCCGAAAAGATTGTGTTTTCCTTCGCAGTTAGTTCTGATGGAGACTGGAGTCGGGTAATGGCAGCATAGTTGACGAGAAAATCAAAAAGATGTAGGGTCCAGAAAATGACAATATCACACAACATACATGCAGCATTACTGTAAAGACCATAACCACCAAATTGTTTTGACCATCAGGGGTAAGCTACAGGATTCAATCTTCAAATATAACCTAAGGATCGAAGCAAAACTACCTGTGGACACTATAAAGACTCGTAAATATTATAAGACTCCTAAAACCATAAAGACAAGCAGTTCATTCAGACAAGTTATTGATAAGATCCTGAAGAATCCTAACATAAAAAAACCTATATTTCCAAATGACAGTTAATTTAGAGAGCAATAAATAGATCTGGTGTATGTGGTGTTGGTATAATAATATTCAAAAAATTAGGAAACATAATGAAGCTAAGACAGTTTATATCAGATTAGTAAAGAACAGATTATTCATGAAAATAGAACAGTAAGTGGGTGCATTTTTGCTGAGAATATTTCAGAATTCAACCCATCAAACCATCAAAAACCATTCTTTTAAGAAGATTCAACAGGATATATGACTCACATTTTCATGTATGCATAAATCAAACAATCCTTCAATTAATGTCTGCAAAGGTGCCACGTCACGACGCACCTGTCAAAAAGATCCAATTAGTTATAGGCTTAGAGCTTTATAGGTCTAAAGAATAAAGAAATCCATCGGTTGTAACACAATCTGTTAGCAACTAGTGCAAGTATGTCTGCAATATGATTACATGCATATAAAACCTGACGAGCCTTCATAATAATTGATTACCAAAAACGAAGCATCGGAGCCAAATCACTCAGCTCATTATTAGTCCAATGGTCTACAAGGAACTCAAATTAGTTGTCACCTCAGTAATTGTCTGCTAGAACAATGTATTAGCACGAACTTTTGATGCATAATTATTCATGCAAGCGCTTGTGGAGTTCAATTACACTGTTTACCATTGAGCCCTATAAAGCCGTAAAGATCCTGTCCTCAATTATACATTGTGGTGTTTGCCCGTTCTGCTTAGGACAGTACTATAGCACCATATTGCACCTAGCAAAAGAACTACGAAAAACAGAAGATGCTGCAATATATTGGTGATAACATATGTTTTCCAGTTGACTATGTTTAGCCTATGGATGAACTCCAGTACAGTGTCAAAATAGAAAAAGAATATATATATATACGATATAGATGAAACTATACGTAAGACATGATTGCAGTAGCAGATGCAGCAAATAGCTGCTAATCAGTTGGAAATTTGGGAGGCCGCCCAAGAACATCAATGTTAACAAGTTAATGTATCAGATACTCTAGTATTCTCCAGATTTCCTATAATTTGAGGAAGAAACCTATCTACCATGACAAGAAATCTACATACACTATCCATGTCTCCAAGCGTAAACAAGTGGAATATAATTTTAGCTGCATTGTTATGATACAATTGTATTCTTTCTTTTATTTTTTTAGCAGACCTGTTTGATTCCTCTGGTAAGGCAAAAGATCTTATGGTTCTTTGAAGCACTGTGTTACAAAAGTAAGATGTTTGGTTGGCTATCTGCTACCTTCATTAATATTTCGTAAAGTCGAGAGACTTTAGCATCATCAACTAATTGAAGAGGCTGCATTCCTTCATGGACTGTTGTGTCAGAAATGCTTCTGTTCATAAAACTTTCAAGGTTTGTTTTTGATGGACAATTGATGCACTTGAAAAGCAAGCAGAACTCTTCTGAACAAGTTACAAACAGCTCCGAGATTAAGTTTCTTCCCAACATATTCTTCCCGGGGAAACCCCATAACGCATGTAACTTGCTTGAGAGAGCGTGCACCATATTAGCATCAGTACTACTACCATCCTCAATGATATCTGTTTGAACTCCTTTGGTCCTAGTCCGCTTCGACTGCCCAGAATTTTTAGGAAAACAATTTTCCTGTGCACATATGAAAACAAAACATTATTAATATATCAAATCAACTTTTCAACAACCAGATATACATGCTCGATCTAAAAGAACGATGACATACCTGAATAGCTAGAGCACTACAGCCGATCAAACCTAGAAACCATTAGTTTCACCACGAAGCATATTAGCAAATCAGCATAACACTATCTTTCAAGAGGGTTTTCTTTTCAAAAAAAAAAAAGAATCTGCTATAAAACATTAAATCTTACCATTATTAGCCATAATCTGGTCCTTCAATTCACATATTGCAGATTTTCCATCTGCCTGAACTTCTACTTGTGGAGAATAAGTTCTGAAAAGGAGGGAAGTAACTACTTAAGCAATGATAAAGGTATATTTTTATTCTTACAAAAATAATGCACAAACTGCAAAAAGATGCTCAGAAGGATGTACTAATATATGTAATATGTCCTTGATCAAAACACTGTCACTGATATCAAAGAATACGAGCATTCAGAGAGAGTGAAAAAAATAGACAGAAAGTTCACTTACAAGTTTGTCCTCTTTAATCTTCGAATCTCAGCATCTTTATTTTCAATGTGTAAAAGGGCATCTTTGAGTTGTTCATCTTTCTTCTCTCTGTCCTTTTGGAGTTCCTTGCATTCACGTTCCTGGAAAATGCAAACCACTTTTATAAAAATAAGAAGATGACATTCTCCGCAACAAGAATCAGCCAAATTTTGGCACACAAAACAAAATATAGCACTGACGAGAAGTTAATGAACTAAAATCACCTCAGTGACTCTTACTAAAACAAACACTACCACAGTTATTGTAAATTTGCTACATACGATTGTGTCAACATAATTAGTTTCTTATCTCTGCCAACTATAGGTGTTTGTTTCTTCTTAACAAATTAGCTTCTTTTTTTTAATAGAAAAATCTATTGCACGAGTAGGAAACTCATCCATAACCTTCTTTTGTCATTTTTCCCCCTTTTGCAGTTGCAAAAAATCATTGCAAAATCTTTCTTCTATGCATGATAAAATAGATTGAATATGAAGTAGAACCCGACTCTACCTTGATAAAGAGCTCCTTAGTGAGACGCTCCAACTCATTCTGCAACCCAAAGTCAAAACAATTACACACAGAACATCAAAAAATGAACTGAAATCTCCCCCCAACATCACAAAGACCTCACCTTTAACCTCTCGCTCTCCCTCTCCCTCTTGTAACCGCCATTCTTGGGAATTCGCGGAGCCCTAAAAGCTTGACTGCTACCATAAGAGACAATGCTCGATTCGATCTTTTCCGAAACTCTCTGTGATAGCTCCCGCGGAGGAGAGTAATTCAAGCTCGTACTGATTCCGTCGCCGGAGAATCCTCCGGCGATGTCTCCGACGGCAGGTCCAGGGATCGGAGGGGGTAATGGAGGGTTAGGGTTAGCGTTTTGAGTGGGGTTTCTTGAGGCTTCGTATTCCTCCATGAAATTGAGCGCGGCGCCGAGGAAACCCTCGTCCCAGTCGTCGAGAACGCCATCGAGATTCATGAGAGAGAGAAAGAGAGACGGAGATCGAGAAATTGAAATTTTGGGTTTTAAGGTGCAGAGCGGGCAAAATAAAAATGGAAAAAAAAAAAGGAATGGTTTTTATTGGGGAGTAGAGCGTGCGGTGCACGTGATGAGTGATGTCGAGGATATGGGCTGTAAAGTGTTTCGGCTCATAAGTTGCACTGAAGGCTAAACTGGGCTGACCTTCGTTTGGCCCACTTCCAATAACAGGAGAAAAATGGCATAATTAATGAATTTGCTTGGATCTTTCAAGCTTGCAAGAAAAATAGATATGGTTATCAAATATCAAATAATAATGATAATACGGTTGTGGGATTTTAGGTTCCTTCGTCACTTATTTGTCATAAAGGGTTGTCTCTCGCCACATCATTGTTGTAAGTATCCTAAGATTTTGCGTTATTTCACCGGAATATAATATAAAAATAATAATCCACCTTAAACGCTAAATCTTGATACGATGCGTACGACAATGAGGAAAACGCTCAAAATTAAAAGACAAAACAAATTTAATGTTTGTTCGTGTGGAGTTAAATTTCAATGTATAGCAGCCGTGCAAAAAACAAATTACTCGTTACGATACAAATTTATCCCGCTACGAGTCCATCATACGAAAATGATTCGATTATGATTGCATGAGGAGCTTGGTACGCTTAACAAATCAATTGATAAACCCTGACTATTCCTCAATATTAGAAGTCCTATGCACTTCAGCACCTCCTCCTTCCTATTCTCTCTCTCTATATGTAGCACTAAGGGTGCATTCGGTGCGGATACGGCTCGGATATGATATTTATCATATCCATTTACGTTTACCTATTTCGGATACCGATACGGATACGGATACACCTCGATAAGAAAAAATTATATCCATATCCGCTAAAATCGGATACGGTTACGAATATGTGTGCAGATATATAAACGAACATACATGCGGATACAAAACGGATATAATAAAACTATGTAGTATTAAAAAAACATAGTTCATGTGATGCAAAAAAATTCTTTAATACATTCATTATAACTGAAAAGCTAAGATTGGATACCTTCATCATCAAAATTAACTACAAAATCCATAATGTAAGAATTAAAACTATCGTAAGAGCATGACTAATATGTATTCGGATATCTCAGATACGGATCCGGATATTTTACTACAAAACCATATCCGTAACCGTATCTATCGATTACAGATTTAAGTAACCATATTCGTATCCTAACGGATATGGTTACGGATATTTCCTCAAATACGGATACGGTTTAGCAACCCTATCTAACGCCCAACCCGCATATGAATCATCTCTAGATCCCCTTACATTTCTGCAAACTTATCAGTTTGATCCGCTCCGTCTAAACTTACCCAAAATTTCTCTTTTCCTACCCAATTCAAAAACTCTTCAAATGACTACAAATACGGCTAATCTTCTGATTTCGAGATCTTCTTCATCTCTAAGGGCTCCAACAAATTAACAATCAAATCCATATCTTTAGAGATTAGTCACTCCATAGTGAAAAAATCAGTGTCCAGGAGATGAAGATAGGAAAGAGGAACAAATAAATTTGTGATAAAAATAGAAAAATATCATGGAGATATCGTCGTGTTATTGATGTTGTATTTAAACATCAAAAATTAGACAAACATATGATTCATGTTCTAAAGTTAACATATAGATAGTTATTAACTATATGAATGATACTTCAGAGATGAGAGAAAAAAATAGGTCCAAGAGGGGTTTATCACGCAAAAAATTGATTTTTGGTGCTAAAACCAATTTTTCTAGAAAATTTCTTTTTAGTACAATAAAAAATTCAGTGGTACATTCGTAAATAAGCTCGACCGGACTCGCGTCCTACACAAGCGATATCGGGTGGCACATACGTAAATAAGTTTGACCGGAGTCGGGTGCTATATAACCGACCCGGGTCATTTCAGCGTCGCCGTCGTCTCATTCTCTTTCGCTCGCCATCCTCTTCTATCAAAAAAAGAAAGGGGGAAAATCACCCCGTTGTCCTCGCAAGATTTTTCTTTTTCTCGCTAAATTAGGAAAACAAGGAGGAGAGAGAGAGAGAGGATGCAGCGCCACGACGATCCCAATCCCTTCGACGAGGAGCCAGTCAATCCCTTCGCGGTAACCTCACCGCCTTCCATTTTCCCTCTCTTTTTTCCAAAATTTGCGTTTTCACCGTAGGAATCTAGCGAAAAACCTAGATCCTGAAAACGTTTGCATCGGATTCTGTTTTCCCCCAAAATGAGTGATTTCTAGGGTTTCGGCTCTTCGGATCTGTTGAAGTAGATCTAGATCTTGACCGGCGTCCGTTTTAGATGAAGTTATGCTGTAAATTAGGGTAGATTAGCTCCTAAGACTTCTTATTTGCACTGATTCAGTACTTAGTTCCTTGTCGAGCGAACAAATATTTGTGCCAACTCTTCGGATCTGTTATATTAGATCTAGATAGTGATCACTGATGGAGGAAATTGAAATGATGATAAATTTTTTCTGTGAATTGAAGATTGTGTGAATGACGTGGATTTTGTATGAAAAATTGTTGGTAATTTTTTCGTTAGTTAGGTTGTGAGTTTTCTAGTTTGCGCTGATTTGTATAGTTTAGTACCTATGTGATGAAATATTAAAGAAATGGATCGTGTTTCTTTGCAGAAACAATCGGATTCAAGCTCGAAACCTCGGTTTCCTGGGCTGTCATCGCTACCATTCGGTTTTGGCAACAGGAATGATGCTACTGATGATATACCTCTTGGATCGGTGAATGTATGGATGTTTAATCTAAAATTTTGTTATTTTCCATTGTGTTGACATCATTATATTCGTTGTGTTAGCTGGAGGAGTTGATTGATTTGAAAGTTGCATATATTGCAGGGCTCGAAGGGTAAGGATCTTGCTTCTTGGGAAGCTGATCTAAAAAGGAGAGAACAGGTTTGCTGAATTCATTTCTTCCGCTTTTGAAACTGCATATTATTATTTGAATGCACTCCAAGTTCAATTAGTTAGAAAAAGAAAGATTAATTTTCTTTTATTTATTGTTTGGTGTTTCTTAACAGGACATAAAACGAAGGGAAGAGGCTCTGACAAGTGGTATGTTGCCAAGTTTTATGGCTGATTTGTAGCATGTCGTAAGGCTCACTGCTGTATTTTGATTGGTGGTAATATGATACTTGTTGATTGCAGCTGGTGTTCCTGTTGAGGAGAAAAATTGGCCCCCGTTTTTTCCAATCATTCACCATGACATTGCTAAGGAGATACCAATCCATGCTCAACGATTGCAGTATTTGGCATTTGCAAGTTGGCTAGGTATGTAACATTTATATTCTCTTTCTATGTAGTTGCATGCATTGACACTCTTATTTTGCCTTGTTTGTCCAGAAGAAGAAATTATATATTTCTACAATTAAGTGATTTTGCAAGTGCCATGGTTTATATAGTTATATTAAAATGGATATTTAAGCATATTCATGGTTTTTCTTGTTTTAATCAGATGATAACCAGTTATCTTATTTGCATTCTTGGGTGCTAGTGGTGGATCCTCTTATTTAAGGCAGCATAAAGAAAATGTTTGAACTGTTACCGTGATAAACATGGAATTCTTTCACCTTACCTTAGAAGTGAAGGAGTTACTGAATCATATTGGCTCGACATGTTTTTCTATATTTTAATTTCTTTTGAACTTTTTATTGGTATGCTTAACATTCATATATTGTGAAGATTGGAGGTTTTTTGTTTATGTGCTTTCTAGTTTGTTTGGATGCTCATTAATATATTTTCAATATCCTGATTTTTACACCTTTTACTTAAAGTCCTGTGGATTATGCTGGTGTACGCATACCTACTGGTAGATTGTTTTCAAATATTATTCTAGAACCAAGTATGCTGAGAATATGGACATTACTTGCATACTAGCTGAAGTTTGTTTTGTTTTTTAAATTTTGACAGGTATCTGTCTTTGTCTTGGATGGAATATAATTGCTGTTGTTGTGTGTTGGATCAAGGGAGGAGGTAAGCTTGTATCACCTCTACTGCAGCAATTCTATCTATCTTGTTGGTGAAGAGCCTTATATCCACGCAACTTACACAATATTATGTTACAGGGGTTAAAATATTTTTGCTGGCATGCATCTATGCTTTGCTTGGGGTCCCTCTTTCATACGTGCTTTGGTATAGACCTCTGTATCGTGCTATGAGGTAGGCCTGTTTACTTATCTTACATTCTATTGTTTCAGTATTGTTTTTCACTTCTGTCTCACTATCTAATTCCAATACAATAATATAGTACGTGAAACCTTACTTATATCTAAGAAAAAATATATATATAACCCTCTTAACTACAATTGATCTCCTAAAATATGAAATGTTCAGGATCAAGAGGAACCAAATCGACTTAAGAGTTTCTTTCTTGGGGCACATGACATTGACATCATATTGTTTGCTAAGAGTTTCTTCCTTGGGGCACATGACATTGACATCATATTATTTGCTTGAATCTATCAGTTTATTATTGCTTTAAGTAATTATTATTGTTTATATGCAGAACTGATAGCGCAGTGAAGTTTGGCTGGTTTTTCCTTCTTTACATGGTGAATCTCATGATACTTTAACTGATTGCTTTCAATATACCTTCATTTGCACATTGGTTCTGGATGTTTGTTCTGACATTGCTATATTCCAGATTCACATTGGCTTTTGTATCATTGCTGCTATTGCTCCTCCGATTGTCTTTCATGGGAAGTCATTGACGTAAGTCTTGTTTCTCGTTGCTGAGTCTGAATTCAAGTTGTTTCCAAATTTAAAAATCATTTACGACGCTTCATGGTTTCTTGCAAAATTTTATTTGAGATTTTGTTTTTGAACTTATGCTACTTGTATATAGAAATATTATCTTACGTGCAAGCATGATGTAGGTTAATATTAACTCAGACTATAAATGATGACAAAATTTTCATGTTTACTTGCAGTATTTTCAATTACAGAATTGAAAAACAACAGATGGTCTCATGACAGAAATTTGCAATAGTTCCCTGTCAGCTAAAGTGTGACGAACTTGGTGTAATATACTCCAGTATTATAGGACGAGAAATTTACATTTCTCAAGTTTGTGTCCAAATTAGTTTCGAAGAGAAAACGCATCTGCATGTTTCTTTTACTGAGAAAATTTGGTATATGAATAATCTGGTGGTAAAATAGTCATGCAAGATTCATATATTAGAAAATACAATAAAGTTATAAAATGTAGCAAATAGTTTCTCAAATGTTAGTGACCTGCTTAAACAAGCTAGCTGGCAGAAGTTGGGGCCTATAAGCTCACTAAAATATCTGCTTTAAGTGTATTTTACAATACTGGTTGACAGTAGCCAGGAGCCACGTCATAGATGTCTAAACTTGAATGTCTATCTTTCTTTCCTATGAACAAAATTGTATGATTCAACTTTATGAGTGGGCTAATATGTTAACCTAGGCATTTGCTTGCTTGTTGGGGTTTATGTCTTTATGCACAGTTTTCTTGTTTAACCTAGTACTAATATAATCTCTCTTTGTCTGGAATCAGGGGTATCCTTGCTGCTATTGACACCTTCTCTGATCATGCACTGGTTGGGGTGAGTAATAATCCTTGACTACTGCATAAATACTTATTTTTTTGTAGTTTTTTAATTTAGCTTTCTAGATAGCTTTATTTGGATTCTATATTTTCTGTGTATCTCTATACCCATGGGCCTTAAATATGGAGTTTTTTATTTGAAATTAATAAAATTCATATTCATATATCCATGATGTTTTTACATGCTCCTATAAATCATTTAATCTGTAAGTTTGTAAAGAAGGATATCGAGAAGGATTTGTGTATCTAAAGTTGGAAGGCATGTTGAGATGCATGTGCTTGACATAACACTATTAAGACTAGTAGAGAACTGAGAAGCTAAGAATTTTATGATGTTCAATAACTTTTATTAGTCCTAGAACCTTATATGATGCCTCTTGCTACCGGAGAGTAGTGATCCAACAAGACTTTTCCAGGTGGTTGCTTCAGAAAGGATTCGAAGATAAGACTGATTTTCTTTCTACCTTGTTTCTGATTCCTCCAAGATTAAGTTTAAACCAGCCTACCATTTATGGGATGTATCAAATGAATCTCGCCTCTGGTTTCTTCTTCAGTCTTCTTTTGTATTTGTTAAATTACCGACAGTTTCTTGTTTCTGAATCACTGGGATTTTTTCTTTCTTGAGAAACATTAGTCAGCCCTGCTCCTTCCACGTGATGTTCAACTGGACATTTGTTTAAGCTTGCCTATAGCCCTTAGTCTCTTTCTGTTTATAGTTCTATTATTACATAGAACTGAAGTCCGAATTTTCATCAGATTTTTTATTCTCTCCTTGAGCAAAATGATTAGATGAATAGAAACCAATATTGGAGATGTATTTCTTATACTTCAATCCACAATGTGGAATTTATATGAGGGTTCAACACTTTATCTAGTGTTCTGTGGTCGCTGTATCTTTTTTTTTGGAGGTGGGAATAAGGTGCATTTTTCAATGCACCTTTATGGCTGAATTAAGGAATTTAACATTTTCTCATATGATGCAGATATTCTACTTGGTTGGGTTTGGCTTGTTTTGCTTGGAAACACTTCTGAGCTTGTGGGTGCTTCAGGTAAGTGAAGCAACTTTCTTTTCTTTTTTATTTCTTTATTTATTTATTTATTTGGTTTTTAACCTCGCACAACACATTCAACCTCATGCTCATCCAATATGCATGTTTTACTGAACTTGGACTTGCCTTACTTAGTTTTTGGTCCTCGAGTACCTTCAGCTTGGATTAACCATATAAAGAAGAAATTGTAGCATAAAAAGACGTTACTAGCGTTAACCAGTTCAATCCGTCTGCATTTGATATATGAGAGACTTGCTGGCTGAAGAATTTACTTTGAAACAAACAACTGTTTCCCATCTTTCTACCTCCTCCCCGTTTTAAGAAATTTTGCATTTTATTTAGAACAACATGCTTTTAGGTGCCTAGAGGATTAATTTTATCTTTTATAATCATATTTTGAAGAAACAATAATCTTCTCAGAAGCGCTTTGGGAGTATGATGCTACTGAAAAATACAGTCGATTTTTTTGAACTTATTCATTCTCTTTTATGTTCCTTTATCTTCCTTTTTTTGGACTATGCAGAAAGTTTACATGTACTTCAGAGGGCACAAGTGAAGCGGATGCTTGGAGAAAGTTCCAACTCGACCTATTTCTTTTTCGTTCTCGTCCTTTTTTGTAATAGATTGTGTTCTTAATACTTGGATATAAAAAGATGTTTGGGTACAAATTTACTTGTATTAATCCCTGTCGTTCTTTATCTTGTGTAAAAAAAATTTTGATTTCGTTGGCGCGTTACCAAAGTTTGCAACTATACCTTAATGTATTCGTGGGTAAACTTTTGGATACGTCCTCTTGCTTATACTTTTCAACTTGTGGGAGCTACCATGATTTTGCACGCTAATACCGTTATTGTTGTCCTTCTCCAACCTTCCATCACAAGCGGTAGAAAGTTTTGTGGTATTTCCATTTCCATAATTCAGTGTCAAAATTAGTTATTTACCCCTATTTAGCTGCGCGATCCATTCAACCTCAAAGAGCCTTGAATCGATAAATAAATTTATCGTCAACCTCTCATGTTTATAGTGATCCAATCTCATGACCCAGTTTAGTCAGCATATTGCCTAACAAACAAGCAACCAGTATTGAATTACGTATAGGGGTGCCAAACCGTATCCGTATATAAGGAAATATCCGTAACCGTATCCGTTAGGATACGAATATGGTTACTCAAATCTATTACCGATAGGATATGGTTGCGGATATGGTTTTGTAGTGAAATATTCGTATTCGTATCCGAAAATATCCGAATACATATTGGTAATACTCTTACGATAGTTTCGATTCTTAGATTATGGATTTGTGGTTAATTTTGATGATCAAGATGTCTAATCTTAGCTTTTCAATCATAATGAACATATTAACGAACTTTTTTTGTATCACATGACTATATTTTTTCTGAATACTATCTAGTTTTCTCATAACCTTTTTGTATTCGCATGCATATCCATTTATATATCCGCATCTATATCCGTATCTAGTTTTCTCATAACCTTTTTGTATTCGCATGCATATCCATTTATATATCCGCATCTATATCCGTAACCGTATCCGATTTTGACGGATATGAATATGAATTTTTCTTACTGACGTATATCCTTATCCAAAATCGAATAATCCGATTTTGACGGATATGAATATGAATTTTTCTTACTGACGTATATCCTTATCCAAAATCGAATATGTATCCGATTTTGACGGATATGAATATGAATTTTTCTTACTGACGTATATCCTTATCCAAAATCGAATATGAATATAAATTTTTCTTACCGACGTATATCCGTATCCGAGATGGATAAGCGGATATGAATATGATAAATGTCATACGTATATCCTAGGGATGGCAAATGGATGGTTTTGGTTGGGTTTTGGTTGGGTCATAAATGGGTGGGCACATTTATGACCACTTAACCATTTATGACCCATTTAGCACTTGCTAAATGGGTTGGTTCTCATCCACCCATTTACTAAATGGGTGGTTCATGGGTAACCCAATAACCCATTTAGTTATGATTATGATGCTTCTATATATATGTAAGTTTCAGGGATCTACTTGCAAACTTCCAAGGGTTTTTGGCAAACTTTCAGGGGGGTTTTTTGCAAACTTTTAGGGGGTTTTTTGTAAACTTTCAGGGGGTTTTCTACAAACTTTTATGGGATTTTTTATAAACTTTCAGGGGGTTTTTTACAAACTTTTAGGGGGGTTTTTGCAAACTTTTAGGTGGTTTTTTGCAAACTTTCAGGGGGTTTTCTACAAACTTTCAGAGGGTTTTCTGCAAACTTTTAGGGGGTTTTGCAAACTTTTAGGGGGGGTTTTGCAAACTTTTAGGGGTTTTTTTTGCAAACTTTTAGGGGATTTTTGTAAACTTTCAGGGGGTTTTCTGTGAACTTTCTGGGGGCGTTTCTGTAAACTTTCAGGGTGTTTTCTACAAACTTTCAGGGGGTTTTCTGTAAAAAGAATTGTGAGCGCCTACTTTTTATATTTATATATCCTTGAGGGTGTTTTTTGTAATTTTTAAAAGTTTGAGGGTGTTACTTGCAAATTTGATATTTATAGGGGACTACCGAAATTTTTTAGATTTCATGTGTCATTTGCAAGTTTAGAAAATTCTAAGATTGTTTTGTAGTTTTAAATTCTTGAGGGTGTTTTTTACAATTTTTAAACTTTGAGGGTGCTTTTTGTAAATTATAAATTTACAGGGGGTTGCTAGTAATTTTTGGATTTCATGTGTCATTTGTAGGTTTTGAAATTTCAGGATGGTTTTGTAATTCTAAACTATGCAGGGTGTTTTTCTAAAAATTTAAAACTTTGAGAGTGTTAATTGTAAATTTTAAATTTATAGGTGCCTATTAAAATTTTTTAGATTTCATATGTCATTTGCAAGTTTAGAAAACTCTAAGATTGTTTAATAATTTTGAAGTCTTGAGGGTGTTTTTCTCATTTTCTACAACTTTTAAGGGTGTTTTTGCAAATTATAAAATTTCAGGGGGCTGTTGGTAATTTTTGAATTTCATGTGTCATCTGTGAGGTTAGAAAATTTTGATAGTTTTTTTTTATAATTTTTAACTCTTGAGGGCGGTTTTATAATATTTTAAACTTTGAGGGTGTTTTTTGCAAATCTTAAAATTTTAAGGGGTTAGTCATTTTAAGTGTTTTCTATAATTTTTAACTTTTGAAAATAAGTTTTGTAATTGTTTAAGCGTTGAGGGTGTTTTTAAAACAATATCCATCTAAACGGGTAAATGGGTGGGTAATAACCCACCCATTAATGACACATTTATCTTTAATAAAAACTATACCCACCCATTTATGGCCTATTTAACTAAATGGGTGGGTTTGGATGGTTCATTTGGCGGGTGGGTATGGGTGGGCAATTGGTTTTGGGTTCATTTTGCCATCCCTAGTATATCCGTATCCAAGATGGATAAGCGGATATGAATATGGTAAATGCCATATCCAAGCCATATCCACTCCATTAACAACCCTAATTACGTATAATATATTTTAACTGCTTCCCATATTTTTTGATACTTTTCTTTAGTAATAAAATTTATAAATTAGAATTGTTGGGGCCCTCCTCTTCAAAGAAGAGGGCAACCCTCCAAAAAATGGCGTATGCTGCTTATGAGTGGAGAGCACACGGTATTCTTTAGTAAAAGGCGAAAGAATAGTTCGCTCTGTGCTCACCACGCAGCTGCGTGATTTTCTACGGCTCATGCGGAGCTATTTTTATAAGCGGTAGAGCCTGGAGAAAACAGTGAACTAACCGATGTGGGACTAAACGGGAGTAATAGCTGGCAAGCTACCGTATCTTGCTTTGGTATATATCCACGGACCCCACTGGCTCGTTGACAACTCGCTATTAGTCGTTCATTTAAAGATCAGCCCACGTGAAAGGATTGAGATTATCAAGTTTTTGTTGAAAACCCATTCATTTTGTGATCAGTCAATACATCAGTCTCCATCCATGAATTAACAAGAGACATCCACAATAATCATAGCTCACGTCCTTCAGAGAAACTACCCCGATACATATAGGCACAGATATTTCACACACAACTTTTCGAATTCTCAATCATTCTTCTAGATGAAGATAATCAAAGCTCTCCTTTATACAAATGAATCCACATATTAACCTGATTACACCCAGAATACATGCGCAGAAAACAAGTAAAACATTCGAGTACCTGAGAAGTGTGATAATCTCTTAACTTCTGAACCCAGAACTATGATCTTGAGCCACATTACAGTCATCGAGAAGTTTGATAAGATCGTGCTCTGGAGCACTCAACGAGGGCAATATTCCCCGTTTCGTTGGGCTTGGCCGAGGCTTATCACTTCCAGCTACTGCTTCGGGTTCAAGGTGTGGGCCTTCCTTCACAACGGGCAAGTCGCCTCTGAATCTAGCACTGACAGATGACATCCGTTCTTTCCATATTCTTCCGTCCTATATCCATTTATAGAATGTTGTGATTAAATAAGTGAAGTCAAAGTTGTAGAAGCAAAACAAATAGATAAGATGAGGGTGACGACAATGTGTTTTGGGTTAATTGCGGATAGACCGCTCTGTAGTGCTATACTTCTACTGTTGCAGATAGATCCCTCAGTGAACTTTCTTTACTCTTTTACCCTCAGGAGGCTTGTTAAAAAGACAAATTTCTGGTTCTCTCAGGGTAAAAGAGTCAGGAAAAATTTTACTCAGAAGGTCTACATGCAACAACAGAAGAATAGAACTACAAGGGCTCTATCCCCAGTTGGACGATAGTAGAGGGGGGGTCTATCCACTATTAGCCCATTTTATTAGCATCTAACTCCGACAGTGTTGTACTTATAACGTTTATGTTATCTCTGTCTATCGCAAGCCAAAAGTACAGGAAAGTTGAGGTAGGTAGCTGATAACCGATATAAACCTAGTTGGATTTATATATATGAATCCCATAGAATATCTGAGAAGAAGAAATAGGATTCATGTAGCCAACGCCGAAAATTTGGGATAAAGGCTTTATGTGAGAAATGTCTTTTTTACATCTTTAAGAATTTGCACACAAGTTACGGTTTCAAGGAAGAGATATCCGTCATATACAATATGTATCCACACAAACATTTACTTTCTAAGGGGGTATATCCCTAAACGAGAGGCACGGCCAAAAGAGATCCTTGGTTAAAACCAAGGATGTGCCCTATTTGACTCACATTTTCACCAATTAAGGACTTAACGTAAGTTGAATCCATTAGTTAAGGATAATCATAACTAGATGAGCACAACCAATAAATAATAATGAGAATAACAAAGCTTGATAGAAAATAAATAACTAAAATAAAAATTGACGATAAAGTTGCTAAGCACTTAGTTATTTCATTATTACTCACTGGGGTGACATTAGAATTATGCGAGATAAAGAGGAAAAGTATTAGGTACATAAACAACAAACAGTACGAAAAACAAAAGGCTAAGAGATTAAATGCACTAAGAGCAGTTAGGAAAAGTTTGGGTCAGTACAATCAGTGGCAAGGAATGAAATCTGCTTGTTGGCCAAATCATATCCGACATTGTAGTTCATTTGAGCTTGCATGCCCAAAATAGATGGTTCGTACTCATTTTGAAATATATATGCACAATATTTGCCGTCATCTTCAAAGAAAATACCGGAAGCAGGCACGTTGACATCAACCCCGCCATAAAATTGAAAGGTGATGTTAATCCAATTAAAATCTTCCATTGTCCCATGGTAACAATTTCCATATAAGTGCCTTGAATCAAGTGCATCATTCAATGCCATTGCTAATGGCTCATAGGCAGGGGGATCTAGCCAAATTGACATTGTCCCTGTATCTAATGTCATGTTCATATACCCATCATCAATAAGGGAAGAAATGTTTAATTTAGTCGATATGAAACTAACTCCCACCAATTTGAGGTTATAGAGACCATCATCTAAAAGAAATGGTGTTGTCTCGCCTACAATGTTGGCTAAAGATCCAAACAACATCTTGCTGTAGGATTCGGCATCTTTTGGTGGTTCTGGAGGCATGCAGTATGAGAATCTATCTACCTTAGCTTGAGATGTGAAGGATTCTTCACCTAATCCTAGACCTAAAATGCCATCAGCAACAGATGCACCATTTCTAAAATCCTGGTCAGCACAACCAAATACAACATCAACCATGTAGTGATCTGAGACATGAAAATTGTCGATTCCCATGAATCCTGTTGAAAAGCTTCCATCCTCATAAGTAGACCGGAATCTGCATGTTTCAGTGTCTGGATCACAGTAGTATGCATCTTTTTGACAAATAGGGTGATCACACTTTAAAAATTTGTAAGTGGCGGAATTATCAGGATTGAATCCAAGACTTTTCCTGCTACCACAATTTTCACACTCATCACCATCAAACCATATTAAATGACTACCAGTGTCAAGTTCAAGATACGTCTTTTGCTCAGAGGATCCAACAGATATCTCCCCAAGATAGAGACCGGAATAAAAACCAATTGGCAGTGATGTGTCATTATTTAGTTTTGCGGAGTGAATATACTCAAGCCGTCGTTTCTCAGCTCGAAGAAGGTCAAGGATAGTGAGGCTCGGATCAAAATACGGCGATAAGTGTGAGCTTTTAGGTAAAACGCGAATTTGGAATCCAATTTCTGAATCAGAATGAGAGATGAACAAGGATGTGATTAAAAGCACTAAAAGATGTCTCATGACTACTATGTGGATAGGACTGAGGATAGGGATGCAATGTTTTGTTACCATACCATTTATATAATGAAAAAAAATCTCACACATCAGCTCTTTTCATGCCCTGAACATGAGCAGGAAATTAAGGTTTAAGCAAATCAAAAGAATCTGGTAAAGTTGTTCCTTTCATGCCATGCACATGAAAAGCCTATTTAGAGTTTTCAACAAACCAGAGAAATGAGCTTATTTGATTAAAGAGAGTCCTCGTAAACAGACAAAGATGCAAAGATAAGAAATTCTCTACCTATACTAACCCTTTTAGTTGGGTTAATCACGGAGGTTCAGCTCGTTGTAGATACGCTTATGACAAGCATATGTTGCGTTTTACCCTTTGATCTACTTTCCAGACTAATTTAGATTGTACATATACTTAACACGAGCAGCAATTCATTGCCTGCCTACTGCATTCTAGTTAAGATTCAACTTACTAGGGCACATGCTCAGTATAGCTGCACCTTGTTACATATTTCTTTAGGTTTAAAAGATATAACAATGTTATAAGGACATATAAAAAAACTGAAACTTGAATGGATTCGCTACTAAATTAAAGAATTATCCAGTATAATATTGTAAACGCGTGTATATAATCTTGTAAATGTGTTTATACTATTGTGTAGAGAGATACCCTTAATCAAAACAAAACATACAACTAAACATTAGGAATTGAGGCCCCGCTAATAGATAGTGAGTCTATACAGAGCTCCATAGAAAGGCATATGGAACTAAACAGGCAACAAATTATTATAAGATGAGAGAGAAAATAAAGTGACATGTTAGTGTATGTTTGGCACATTTTCCTCTGATAACTAATAAAAAATGAAGAAATATATGAAAATAAAACGAGAACGGTTGCTTTGATGAAGGTGATATGAGACAACTTGTGTAGCTACTAGGTACAAAACAACTTACTTGTGTATCATATAGCCATACTTTGGAATCAAAAAGGTTTTTGGGTTAACCTAAGGAAACGAATGAATAATTTGAGCTATAAAAGACCAAGATTAGAGGGTATTAACATATAAAGCACGTAGATATTAATAAATAAATAAATTCCTGAAGCTGAATGACTATGATACCAGGTCAAAGTCTCAGTCACGACATCAAAACTCTCCGAAGTTTTAGTCGGAGAAGAAGGAATTACATTTATCCTCTAACACTATTTATGCATAAGTTTATAGATATATGCACTCAAGTGAACTTCAATAAATATTTTCTTTCCCTGAAAATGCAAAAACTTTACAACGTTGTGAGGAGCTTAGTTCATTACGTTGTTACTCACTAGTCACTAGAGATAACATTGGAATTAAAATTGAAAGGTAATGCTCATCCAGTTGAAGTCTTCCATCCTCTCAAAATAACAATTTTCATATGCATTCCTTGTATGAAGTGTATCTTTCAATGCCATTAATAACAGGCTGTATGCAGTCAGAGGTAGCCAAATTGCTCCACTCTCTGAATCTAGTACCATGTCCATATATCCCACTTTATTGATGGGAGTAATGTTAAACATAGTTGATAGGAAACTAATTCCCACCAATTTGAGGAAATAGACACCTTGCTCTATTATGAATGGAGTTGACTTACCTACAATGTTAGCTACAGATCCAAACAACATCTCATGATAGGATTCAGTGTGTTCCGATGATTGAGGTATGCAGTATGAGAATTTATCTACCTTAGCTTGAGATGTGAAGGGTTCCTCGTCTAGTCCTAGACCTAAATTCCATTAGCAACAGACTCGCCATCCCTACTATCCTGCTCAGCGCAACCAAATACAAAATCCAATGTGTAATCAGTTGAGAAATGAAAATGATCAACTCCCATGAATCCTGCTGCAGAATTTCTATATGCATAAGTATACCGGAATCTACATGTTTCGATGTCTGAATCACAAAAATATGCATTTTTTCACATAGAGGATGATCACAGTTCAAAAATCTGTAAGTGGCAGAATTGTTGGCATTGAATCCGAGACTTTTTCTGCTACTGCAATTTTCACACACATCACCCTCAGAATTGTTGGCATTGAATCCGAGACTTTTTCTGCTACTGCAATTTTCACACACATCACCCTCCAGCCATACTAAGTGGCTACCCATCTCAAGTTCAAGGTACCTCTTTTCCTCAGAGGATCCAATAGACATCTCAGCCAGATAGAAACCGGAATAAAAACCAATTGGCAGTGATGTGACATTATTTAGTTTTACGGAGTGAATATAGTCAAGCCGTCGTTTCTTGGCTTGAAGAAGGTCATGGATAGTGAGACTAGGATCAAAATATGGTGATGATAAGTGTGAGTTTTTAGGGGGGAAAAGCGTATCTGGAATCCAATTTCTGAACCAGAACGAGAGAAGCAGAAGATGGACGAGACTAAAAACAGTAAAAGATATCTCATGTTTACTATGTGGTTACGACTGAGGAATAGGAACATGATGTCTCCATTTATCTAAAATAAAAAAAAACTCTGGTAAATTAGTTCTTCCCATGCCTGAACGTATGCAGGAAATTAAGGTTTATACAAATAAAAAGAATCTGGTAAAACTGTTGTTACATACAATGCACATGAGCAGCTTATTTAGAGTTTTCAACCCACCTCAGGACAAGATTATGTGATTAAAGAGGGTCCACTGCATAGACAAAGAAGAACAAGATAAATATTCTCTAAACAGATAGAGAAGAACAAGATAGAAACTTCTCTACGATACTTAACCATTTCAGTTAGTTTTATCACAGAGGTTGACCTCCTTGTAGCTACGCTTTTGGCATTGGTAATTAAATTCACAGGTTAAGGAATTAACCTAAGTTGAATCCAAAGGTTAACGTTAATCTTAACTAAATGAGGCCCCACCAATAAATAATGAGTCTTATCCAGAACTAGATAAAAACTAAAAAGCTACATGAACTAGCAGGTTTTCCTATATTCACCCCTTAAATCTTTCAAATTTTCTCAAATCCTATTAGTTCTTTTAAATTAGCACCTCTGTTAGATTTTCTATCAAATATATTAACTCAGGTTGGTCAATAGTTAACCGCACATGGCAATTGCAACACTACCCTTAAGATTGAGTTGAGTCAAGCCCTCCCCACATATCTTCCTAATCCCAATCTTGAGCTAGTCAGAAAGGCAGGTTTTATCTAGATTTTTTTTTTTTGAAAAGATTAATCCCTCCCTTGATATCTGCTTCTGTTTCTCTATTCTACTATCTTGTTGGGATGAAGGTTTTTAAGGAAAGTTCATTTCATGAATGCTTTGGAGATTCTGGGAAATGTCATTTGGATGTTTGGTTAAGAAATTTGGGTTCGAATGCTTGGAAAATTGATTTGAATGGTGTGGAAATTTGGGGCTTTAGTGAACCTTCACAAGCCATTGTGGACAGAATTTGACAATTAAGCATGGAAGTACCGAAGAAAGATGTCTTTACCCGTGTTTAATTGCTTGATCATTAACTCAAACCTGCAAGGCTACAATTTCCAATTTTTGCCATTTAATTTGGTGAATTTGAGTACAAAAACAGAAGAGCAGCAGCAAGCAAGAGAAGGATCGGGATCCTTTCCAATTAGGTGGTAATTTGAGTGTCCATTACCCCAATCCTTACACTCTATTCCAATTTCAAGGACTGAGATGAAGCTACGAAGGACTCTAAATATTATCTTGAAAACCACTATTGGCTTAAAACCACTATTGTGAAAACCGGTTATAATATAGTGGAAATGCTACATGAGTTCATCTCAGCCCTTGAAAAAATTAGGCATCAGGTTAACTGGACACTCTTCAATTACCACGTAATTGGAAGGATCCGTATCCGCAAGAGGAACTGACCCGTTTAGGGAAGACAATGAGAGAATGGGTTAGGGCTAAAATGAAATGGGTTTATGGTTTAAATCCATTTAGGTACCAAGTTTTGGGTTTGAACCCACTTAAATAGAGGGATATAACGGGAAACTCCCTACAAAAGGTTAACTTAGAAGGAATATTCCCTTTAAATTGGATGATAGGTGATCAGAGGGATTAATTTGAAAAAACCAATAGGATTTGAGGGACTAAATAGTAATTTCAATGATTTGAGGGACATTCAAATTATTGAAGATTTAATAGATTAATATAAAAAAAACCTAAAACTAAACATCCACAAATTACTAGAAGATTGAGAGAATATAAATTGAGATATTATAGTGCCTTTGTCAAAATCTTCCACGGTTGCTAATAACAAATGAAGAAATAAAGAACAGAATGGTGGATTTTGTGAAGGTTACATGAGACAACTGTTGCAGATATAAAGCAACTTACTTGTATATCATGTAGTAATACTTTGCAATCAAATAGGCTTTTGGGTTAACCTACAGAAACGAATGGTTGGGCTATAAAAGAACTTTTCTACTACCACAATTTTCATACTAATAACAATCTAGCCATACTAAATTGCTACCCGAATCAAGTACAGGGTACCTCTTTTCCTCGAAGATCCAACAGATACCTCCCCAAGATAGCGACTGAAATAAAAAACCAATTGGCAACGACATGTTGTCAGACTCATCACTTAGCCTGACAGAGGGAATGTAGTCAAGACATTGGTTCTCAGCTTGCAGAAGGCCATAAATCCTGAGGCTAGTATCAAAACACAGTGACAAGCATGAATTTCTACATAAACTCATGTTCCACTATAAAATGTCTCGTGTCTACTGACTGAGGATAGGGATGCAACATTCATAAACTGAAAAGAAAAGGGTAAATAGCTCTTCCCATGTACTGAACATGAACATCACATTAGAGTTTAAAGTAACTTCACCATTCTAAGTGATTACCCTATGATCATGCTTTTTAGACAAATTTAGTTTGTACATGTATTTCACATGATCATCAGATCACAGGCATGCCAACTACATATTACATTCAAGTTGGGATCGCATGTGTTCAGGCTGCACCTTGGTAGATACTTCTTCAAGATCAAAAAACATACCAATTTGGTAAGGAAAAATAGAAGTAAGACTGACATTCTTGGATGGGTTTGTTCACTAATTAACAAGTAACGCATATAGCACTTGTAATCTCGTAAATGCGTCTCTATATTGTGTCAATTTGTATTTATAACTCTCTCCAAGATTAAATGTGAATATTTTGTACATGTATTTATAACAAATAGGAATTTTGCATGTCCACCCTTATTAACCTTAACACCTTGCCTGCTTGCACATGCCTCGCGAGAAAGAAACAATTAACAAGCATGAGAAAACTTAAAGTGATAGTCAAACGTTTATTACTTACATTGAGTATCGAAGGTTCTGGGAGCGGGCACTTAACTGGTTGGTCACAATCGGTAGGCTCAGTTGGGTGCTCAACCGGCTTAAATTCAACTGTTGTTTCAATTACATGGGCTGTAGGCACTGGAGCTGGATCCAAAACCTCCACATTCTGTGCCAATGTTTGCCTCGCATCCTAAGCCATGAGATTAACAACTCGCTTAATGATCCCAACCACAAATATTAAAGATGAAAGTATAAAGGACAAGAAGAAAAAAGAGGAATTCGAATGATAGGTGTAAGAGAGTCCCTGAAATGGATCTGAGCATATGATAGTTGAGCCTAAAACATTCTTATGTAAGCATGTAAAATGCAATTTGATGATATCATAGGGTTTCATATTCCATACAATTTTTAAACAATAACAATTAGCTATCAAGAAATTCATAAATAAATGGCAAAGAAAGCACTGATTTAAAAAGCAACTCAAGTCCTTCCCACACATCTTTTGATCTTCTCTTTCCTTCAGTTCGGGGAGAAATCCCGCAATTTAAACATAATATATATGTGTAGTACTTAATTTCAAAGTAAGATCCGCCTACAAGTCTCGAATCTTCACTGAAAGCATCCTCATTAAATTCCGATTTTAGAATCTAATATTAAACAACTAACAAGTAGCTCAACAATGAGCTTAGCAGATTCAAACAGTGAAAATGCAAATAAATACCTTTTAGAGAAAAGCTGTGTTTCCCGATGCAAAACCAAATAATCGGTAAGTAAGTTAACTATAAAAGAGAGGGAGCATAAACAAGGACGTTAATAAAAACCCAACAAAATAAATTAACAAAAATAAACAAGAATTGACAAAAACCCAACAAAATAAATTAACAAAGTTCGTCACAAACGACGGAATCAAGAACACCCAATACCCCAATTCAATCAAACAAATCCTACTTCATTCGCAGAACCAATATTACCAAATCGACCCAAGTCACCAAATTGATCGCACAATCTTCAACAACATCAAAAACCCATCTCTAATTACCAAAAACGCATCACCGAATCACCTAAAAAAAGCACAAACGCCAACACCCATCAACCAAAAATAACGAAAAATCTCATTCTTACCACTGCGCTCTGAGTTCTCCTGTGCCCAATTCTCCCACCTGAGAACTTTGAGAAAATCCCCACCATTTTTTCCCCCTCTTCTCTCTAATATCTGAAACGGAAGCTTCTTCTGCTCATTCTGTTCTCAGGTTTCAGAGAAAGATAGAAAAAAAGGGTGGTGAGCACAATCGAATCTAAATCACAAATTGAGATAAAATATTCACCACCAACTATAGCTTTCGTTAAAGATGGGGTTTTTTTTTTTTTTTTTTGGTTGTTTTTTCTAGCTTTCGTTAAAGATGGGGTTTTTTTTTTTTTTTTTTGGCTGTTTTTACTGAGATTTTTGGACTCGCCTTTGGAGAACTTAAAGAGACAAGCGAGAGAGAGCGAATATTTTTTGGTTTGATCTTCGAGACTATTTTAGGTTTTTTATTTCCAGGCCCAAGATTTCATGAGGACTTATCTTCAAACCCGCCTAGTCCAAATTATTCCTAAACACAATATACTGGGCTAAACTATTCTAAAACCTGCTTTCTGTAGTTTAATTTATCAGAATTTATTATAGAATATAAATTTATAACCCTCATTCATCGTCATTGTTTCATATTTGACACAGTGGCAGAGTCCTTTGAAGTTGGACATGGTAATCAAAATAACCCAGTTTTAAATCTTATCGATAATAAATTTACAGCCGACTAGAACATGGTAACACTAAACGCAATGGCATATTACCGTATAACATAACAACCATGAACCTCACACAACAATCTTCCACTTTCAATTAGGAAAACTTCAATTAGGTATGATTTTATATACCTTTTAAATATCGTATATAAAATTGATGAAAATGTAGGAACTGAATTTAGAAATAATTTAGGGCGATATTGGAAGTAGATGGGTTTAAGAATAAATAGTTGAAAACTTTGGTCTGTAAATGAAATGCCCTTTTTTCAACTGCTTTTGGGTTTTGCTCCGTGGCTTGGATTGGATGGACGGTGCTGATTCGCTAATACTGTTGATGATGATGTGATTTTCTGCCACGTGTCGAATAATAGGGCGGCAGCCGGCTGCCAGCGACCGAAGTCGATGTTTGTAGTTGACAAGTAACTGCTCGGATCTGCCGTTTTAATAAGAACATCAGACAGGGTTTTGCAGACACCCAAACGTGGGCAAACAGTGTATTTATTCCTTTAGGAGAACCCAAAAATTTAGTATTCATATGACAGTCAATTAGTATAGCATCATCACTGTAGCACATATAGGAACGCCGGTGTCTTAAAAATATTGTATCATAGTAGGGTACTGTAGCATTTAAAAAATGTTATTGTAAAAACCATTTAAGAACAATATTACTGTAACAGAAATAAAAAAATAGAGATGTGCAAAGCCCGCTAATAACTATGTAATCTCAGAATATATTGTGCTTTAGTTTTGGCCCAAACTATGATTCAAATGGAATATTAAATAAAAAGAAAAAATAAATATTCTGATAGAGCTATGTTTTTTTGTTTTTAATGATATAAGACCCCCCAAGTCTTCCTTATTTCTAAACAACACCCCCAAATCTTGATATTTCTAAATAGCCCCCAAAAATCATGTAAGTTGTTGAAAAAACACCCTCATGGATGTTTTCCATCCAAATGCTTTACCCAATCATGGTTAGCCCTTAACCATGTAGGTTACCTTACAATAATAGTCTTATTCAATAACTCCAATAATGAGGGCGCTATTTAGAAAATGGGTGAATGCAATTTGGCCATTGTTGCTATCAAGGGCATAAAGGGTGACAAATGAGTTACTTCTGACCGAGGTTTTTTTTCAACTGCTTACATGATTTGGAGGGCTTGTTTAGAATATCAAGATTTTAGGGGGTTATTTAGAAATAAGGAAGATATGGGGATCTTACATGATAAAAACATTTTTTCGCGTGTAATATATTCGTTTGGAGTTTCAGGCAACTTTTATGCCAACAAATTTTGTTTAATGAAGGTTCTATTAATTACTATAAAGACTCAGCAGCTTTCTAAGAAAAGGTTCCAGTTAAAATTAAAATTAAAAATCACAAGCTACATACGAAAAACAAATAATTAAAGCTTTGCTAACATTTTCCCTCAAGTTAAGAAACTTTTAAACATTTGCTTAAATTGTAATACTTTTTTAGGTAATTTTAGATATTTAGGCTCTAACATAGTTTTTTTTCCCCATGATTCAACAATTTATTTTCTTTTTTAGGTCATTTAGATATTAGGCTTTAACGTAGTTGTATTTTTATTTTTCATGATTCAACAAATTATTTTCTCAAAGCAATTCATCATAATCCACGAATGGTGAGTACCATGTTTTTATTTGGGCTTAATTGCATTCAAATACTCTATAGTTTCCTCTACACTTATATACCCTCACTTAGTCACTTGTCTTTGGCAACATTTATATATCCTAAAGTTTAAAAACTCGCACTCATACACTCGCACGTGTTTTAACAGCGCTTATACGCCCTAAAGTTTAAAAAATGTGCCCGTAAATATCCTAAAGTCGTCAATACTCACACTTAAATGTCCTTGGAATGCAATCTTAAAGGTATTTAAGTGCAAATTTTTAAAACTTCATGATATTTAAGTGCTAGTTTGAAAAACATTAAAATATTTAAGTGTAGGTTGTAAAGACTTCAAGGCACAAAAGCGCTATAGAAAATAAGTGAGGATACGTAAGTGAAAGTTTTAAAATCCTTATGTATCTTGGTGTTGCCAAAACAAATGAGAGTAATACTATAAGAGCAATGCGAGAAAACTATAGGATATTTAAGTGCAATTAAGCCTTTAATTTGTCTGCCATTTCCTTGACTTGGTGCGAGCGGTAGACACATCTTGAGTTAGTTATAAGCATTTCATAGGGTCTAATAAAACTTTATACTCTTCTGTTCTGACCCATCGCCTTTCAAGTTATTGCGGTGCGATAAGGGACTGTTTGGTTGTATGTTTTTACCATATAAAAGGATTGAAAGTGTAAAAAAGTGAGTCTCAATGTCAGCTTTCATCACTTTACATTGTTTGTTTAAATTCTCTTTTACATGAAAAGCTTACACTTTTTGATGAGGTGTCACCGAAAGCAAAATCATCAAAATTAGGAGTGATTTTGTTGGAAAGCTGACACAATGACATAAACGTGTCCAAAAAATTAATAAAAAAAGTCAAAACCTTGTAGAAAGTGGTGAGGTGGATAACCACTTTCCATTTTGTGTCATAAATACTCTAGTTTACATTATAATATCCAAACAATGTAATACTATTATTTTAGGATTCACAAAGATTACTAACCAAACAATGTGAACACTCGAACGTAAAGTAATGAGGTGGATAACAACTTTCTATTTTGTGTCATAAATACTGGATCCGGATCCTCTCCTAATAAAAAGCTCCTAATATCTCCTTAGAAAAATTCCTTAAGGGGGTGTTAGTCAATTGGGACATTTTCATACAAAATGGGATAATTGTTAAAGTGGAATAATATTTCGCTAGTGGGATATTTTAGTGGGATAACTAGGAACAATTTTGTGAAGCAGGATATTTTGATAAAATAACGTGGGATAAATTTTTATAATCATGAAGTATATATTTATGCATTTTGAAGATATAAATACTATTTATGTATTTTAAACTTACTACTATTAATTGATAATTGCTTACAAGAATGTTCGTTACTATTAAATAACTTTTGGTTAGACTATAAGATATTGACAATTATTATTATGATGATGGTCTAATGATGGTGATAACCATAATAGGAAATAAGTAAAGAAAAAAAATAAAAAATAACAAAATAAATACGAGTTCTAGTTTTTTACCACATAGTTCCAAGCTAAAACTTGGAATAATTTGAGAAACTAGAACTCTTATTTTTTTATAGAAAAATAAAAAAAGTGGGATAATTTTGTACAATTATCCTGGATAATGAGTTGGCCATCATTAATAATGGCCAACTCATTATCCAATAGGAGGGGGACACCACACTTGTCCTCCCTATTGGTCCCATATTTTGCGTCATTATAGCAAAGCTCATCTCAGATCCTATCTTTTTATTTTCATCATGGTCTTTCATTTTCCCACCCATCCTTGTGGACCCCCCTCCTAACTCTTCACAAATCTTCATTAGGAAATATTAGGATGAGAAGAGGATCCCAATTCAGAAAGACGTCCAAACAGCCCCTAACTTGAAAGGCGATGGGTCAGAAGTAACTGCAGCATCTTCTTTTCCCTACTTTTTTAAAAAAAGAGATGCGCTTGCTTGAAACTAAAAAATATATATTAGTGAGTTGGATCTTTTCCTTTCTTTCTTTCTTTCTTTATTTTTTGAACCTTCTTATTTTTATGGTGAGTTGGATCCTCATTAAAATAGCTGTCATGTTTTTCAACAACCATACACAGTAGCCCATGGTCATCATTGGCTGAATTTTTTGTGGCAAGGATCATGGGAAACCACGTCATGTAGAAATTAAGTAAAATACGACGATTGTCTCACTATCAAATTTTAACCGGTATAATCGTATACACACACTACCAATGCAATCAATAATTATTAGCTGATTCTTCCACGAGAAGGAGAAAAAAAAGTTCCATGACTCGTTGGCTTTTTTTTTAAACTGAAGAAACAGGAATAGCATTCCTGTTCATATATATATATATATATCTATATATAATATGATATATATATAGATTAATGGGTGGTATCCTTGTCATAGGAGGAGATTTCCTCCTATGACGCCTTTAAAATCACATGCATGGCGACATTGTGATGATCCGCCTCCTTACGCTTTGACTTGATCTACATATGTCTAAAACCCCACACACCAAGTTTGGGGTGAACCGTTTCGTTTGACCCTTCATCACTCGTATCAATTTTTAACTGTTGATGATGAATAGAACTTTTCACATGCTTCGATGGAGAGTCAACGACGGACGGATTCACCCCAAACTTGGTTGTTGGGCGTTTTAGAATATGTAGAATCAAGTTCAACGGAGCGGATCATCCACCATGCTCGCTCAATCATGTTTTAAAGGCGTCATATGGAGAAATCCCCTCTGCATATCCATTAATCTCATATATATATATATATATATATAATATTAATATATATAGTTTCTATAGTTAGGATGTATATGATTTATATAATATATATATATATATATATATATATATATTTATGGTGAAAAAAAAGAAACTTACAGAGAATATACATATCTTATCAAAAAAGGCGAAGGCACACCAAAAATAAACAGAAAGAAGAGCAAATTAAAAAGCATCTTCTACCTAAACTAGACAGCACAAAGTATGCATATACACCATAAAACCAAGAATAAAAACTACAAAAGATAGTTAAGGAGTTTGAAGAAGATGCCACTGCCTCAAAAGAAAAACTCCCAAAAGAAACAACCGACATGAGTAACAACCAACAAGGACTAGTCTGCTGAAAAATTGTCTCCCACTTCAGCTGCCGCTTTCTTCTTTGCTATATCTTCAAACTGCAGCTTGATGGCTGCCCTACGAATCCTTTTAGCCAACCTATCTTCCTGAGCACCTGCCCATAGGAGAGTATATCTAGCAACATTAGCTGCAATAAGGTCAGAGTTATGCTGAATATCTCTAAATATGAGGAAGTTACGACTCGTTGGCCTTCTAACTCTATGAACCGTTTATTTGTCATGTTTTTGCCTATTAAATGTTCGTTTCCTGACTCTAATTTTCCTTTAAGATTAAGCCTCTTCTCAGATATATTTTCCCTTTTGCTTCTCAGCCCACTGCTCGTGTGAGGAGTTAAATTATCAGTATAATCAAAATAATAAACCGCTGGAAGTTGAACGTTGTGTGAATGCATTGGCTAACTTTAATTCTACTTTATTTGAACGTATGCGCATGCTATGAAAAATCAAAATCACCAATTTTGGAATCAGTACAAGGACAATTTTTTTTAATAAACAAATTAACAAGTTTTTCCAGCAGATTTCGACTAAAGGAGTAATTGCATATAAGTCCTTTAAACCTCCGAACTCAGTTTTTGCTAAAATCTTCCCAAAATCATTATTTCCATTGCCAAAATATTCCTCTAACTATTAATGAGAGTTAAACTTAGTTAAATCTACCAGAAATATGTGAACTTTCCGTTATGCCCCTTTCTCATTAAATACTAGCATTTAAATTCCAATTTTATAGAACGTTTACACTAGCAAAATCCCCCCAAAACCTCAATGAAGCCGCTCTCCCTTTTAGAGCTTGGAAAAAATTAGGAAAATAAGAGTTTTTTAGTTGTTACGGGAGGAGGAAACATCCCAGGGGCATCGGAGTAATTCTACACATTGGGTTAAGGCTTAGCCTACTTGCATTTAGAAATTATAAAAAAATTTAACAGAAGGAGGAATTGGCAATGGAATTGATGATTTGGCAAATACTAAGATTTGGGGGGCGTTTGACAATAAAAGAAGATTAAGGGGCTAACATGCAATTATTCCCAGTTTAAATTGTCATAAGATTGGAAGGCACATTCTCAAATAAGAAAGATTTCAAAGGGTGTTTCTGAAAAGTCCAGTACTCTGCATGTACCCCCGCGAGTTTTTTATTTTAACCGACAATATTTGCGGGTAAAAAAAAAAAAACGATTCCCAATCTCTCCATCCATCGAAAATCCACTGTAATTCATTTTGGGTTGATTTAGTTCTTGAAGTTGGCCATGGAAGTGTGAGTATTTAGCTTTCAGCTTAAAACTTGAGTCTTTTGTGTTTTATACGAATTTTAACGAATTATAAAGGTTTTTGATTCAATGTTGATGTTGACGCAGTGTCGCTTCGGCGCCGGGAAAGGTTCTGATCAC